GTTGGTACAAATAAAGTCAATTTACAATATTAACACCGTGCATTTCTTATAATTTAGATACTCAAACTCTTTTTTGAGTAAACTTGTTTCATGCACGAAAGAGCCGGTAACACGTGATCCACATCCGATGAAGCAAATCATTGTGATGAATTGTATGGGCGTCGGTAATACGTGCCCATGATGATATTTTGTAAACGCCTAACGAGTATTGTAGAGCGACTGTGTTCCCTGTTTACCATGAATAAAAGTGATTTGATCGTTAAGCAGAACACGAAACAGGCGAGTGATGTTTAACACTTGTGCATAAACGATATTAACAAAAACCGCACCAATATAGGCAAACCTTCTGTCTTCAAAAATCATAAAATCACGACTTTCTGACAATGCATGTAATTGTACTATCAAGTCTTCGTCAAAATTCTCAATAATATTGTATGGTCCGGTGCAAAAAGGTTGATACACGAAAATCGTTACCTGAATTTCTCCTATAGTACAAAACTCGCTAATCAAGTCATGTGCATACAAATTATACAAAGGTTAAGGAATGTTTCAAACCTGAGTTTTCTTAACAAACCCTTATCTCATGGATGACTTGGAACGAAATTGAAGTTTCTTAACTAGTAACGAAAAAAAGATGATCGTTCGAGTTCATCAGTACTTTTTAAGTATTCTCCAACGCTAGGCGCAACGTCAAGACTTATCACTACGCAAGGAGGTTGCTTCAGTTCTCAGTATTGGGGAGGCAACAGTTGCGCGTGTGGTTGCTGAGTATAACGGAAGTGAAAATGAAGAATTCTCACGGCAAACAATCCAAGGTATGCCCCAAAAAGGACTTGACCATAATGTTGTTGAACTTATACACAAGTTATTGGTTGAAAGTGATTTTGAAGTCGGAGAAGTTGAATATTAGTATTTTTTTTTTATTAAATTTAAAAATTTTAATAAAAATTGCATCTGAGATATATTTTGAACTATAAATCATAAATCATTTATTAAAGCATTCCATTAATTTGGAAAAAAGAGGTTTTTATTATAAGCATATCAATATTGGTGTATCAACCTTTTTGCACCGGACCATATATTTCGTAAAGCGTCGGATTTATTCCGTCAACAGATTAGTCTCGTTATATTCAGGATTATATTTAGAAATTTAGAGTTTTATTGCTGATACTATTCGTATTTATATGTTTACAGCGAACATACGCATTCGCCCTATCAACATATTCTTCTGTGGTTTCAAGAAGAGATGACATACGCTTCAACTGATTTTTGTGGAGTGGAAATTGAGATTATAGAATTAAATCCGCATGGTAGTACACTTCTTAGGAAAGTAGGGTATGGTTAGGCAAATCACGAGCCATTACATAAATTAAGGTCAAAAATAATTTAAGCGAGCAAATCCGCCCGCTTAATGGTTTAAGGGATACTGTTACAGTAGTATTGTCTTGACTCTGAAGCTGAAGGAATTGGCGAGAAAAGGCTTTTTATATAACCAATTTCTATAAAACAAGGTTTACGAGTCGTTCGTTAGCCTTAAATAATAATTAAATGACGAGTTAGATAATATTCTTGTTATGTTATTATTAAACACCCGGCCGTTAAGGTGACATTTTATCCAGAATTTGAGTATAGACGCATTAGCACTCATACAAAGTGAATTGGCATTATCGATTTATTTCCGATGGTCATGCTACGTTGACATTACTATTTGCTTTAAAAAGAACGAACCTTTTCATACACGTAATTTTGGACAATCTTTATTAGTATGAACTTTACATTCTCCGTAATGTAAATTTTGTTACAGCAAAGCTTTTTGGGGATATAGATAAGGTATGGCGTTTCAATAGGATAATATCAGCAATTATTTTATTGGTTAATAAATTCTATCAGTGACGTAATATCATTTTCTGTTTGTTCTAAAATTCCTTAGCCGTCACAAGTTCTTCCCACCTGATTTTGTGGCCTGATTTATGCCCCGATGTTGAATTTGTGACTTGATTGGTTGGTTTTGTGACCTGATTCTGCTGTACAAATTATAATTCGCAAATGATTAATGGTTAGAGCTTTTCAGATAGTTGGACTAATTATAATATTATGAATGCATATTAATATTTTTAACATATTGTCAGTGTTAATTTAGCTAGTATAATTTAGAAAAACTAACCTTTTCAAGTCAATAGAATAGAAAATTATTTTACTCTTATTTTCCCACAGAGCAGACATAAATTTAATGGCGTCAATAATAACCATTGAAAGGCCATGCATAAACTGTTTCACGGTTATTGGATAGATGATCATTACTGTTTTACGGCATACATGCTTAAACTTTCAATCTCGTATTTTATTCAATGACTATTTTCTTTCAGCCTTATTGCAAAGTTGAATAAATCAACTGTCTGTTAACCATGTAATAACTGCGCCGCCACTTGTATTACAATCGTTGTTATGTTCCGACATCCCGAACAGGCACATTATCTAATCAACATCGTTTGTGTGCTTATTTCGATGCTGAATTCGCGAACAGCTATATAAAACATACACTTTATTAAAATTGACTATACTTACGCATTGTTATTAGGTTGAAACGTTTAAAAGCCGGCTGATGTGACCACATTATTTACTTATTAGCCGCCTGATTAAAACGTTTTTGTCAGTTGATCTATTTAATTTTTCATTCAGCACTCGGAAATAATGTATCATGACTGTTATATGAACTATGGTATGGTTTTAATAACGGATAATTAGTAGCAATAAATTCTTACGTATCATTGAAAACGTTGTTATCGACTTTAATAAACAATTTGATTATTATATTAATATGAATAAGACAATTACAAAGTAGATGTGTTTGATTTAATTATTTACATTACGTACGAGTTAAAACAACCTTTCAATGACTCCTTTTCGGGCAATACTTTGCTTTTAGTTCCATGTCATTCGTGACACTATATGAATTGTGTACATTGGCGGATCAAAGTGCAGGACGATATAACATAACAGGAAACAAGATAGTTTTGGTAGGCCATCAGTTGCAGTATTAGTATTAGTGCTTGAACCATCCGATCAGCCAAATTTCACCAGTAAAAATTAAAGATACTAATTTGTATCCTTTACAATCACTACCGACTATTGAAACGTTTGAATTATCAATTGTGGACCACAAAATGTATGGTGCGCAATTAATATTGTAATCAGGTGAAAAGGGATGGGGGCTTGCGGCTTGCTTTGCGTATCTAAACTTTGTTACAAATATGGTTACTGATGCACAATGTTCAATCACCCCCTGTTTTTTATCCATAACCGAATTTTGGCGTACAAACTTTGTCTCGCAGAGAGTTTGGTATATTGTAATATCGAATTTGATCTTAAAAAGCCGAACATTTTATTCACGATTACATAAATGTCTGGAATCTATTTGAAAAAACAAGGCTAAATACATAACATGTATTGATGCTTGTTAATCGCAAATGGTCATATGAAACAGTGAATAATCTATATTATGTTTCAATATCCTTCCTGTTGCCATTACAAACAATACATGTACCACAGCTATGGTGGATTTTCTTAAACCTGGTTATCTGCAAGTGGAGTGTATGCGGGTGGAGGTGGAAGAATGATCTTATCCCCTTCGTTCGGGATTTCTTTATAAGCCGGCAGTGGTTGAGACACTTGTCCAACTTCGATAATTATTGAATTCTACAAACGACAGGGAAAATAACCGTGTTATAATTTGTGCCAAGCAAATCGAACGTTTCTCTGATGTTCATCGTTTGTTGTACTTACCCCCGTATAAAGATCTCGCTTCCAATGTACATGTTGAGGATTATCCGTGATATTAAATTCTATCAACAACTGGTCGAGTTGAGTGTAGAACTGAAATATGCATAAAGATCGTTCAAAATTAGTGGTTTGCGGGTAATCGTAACACGAATGAGAACTAGAGACTTGAATTTTTGATTTCGATCTATCTAGTTAGGATACGTTTCCTCTATTTCTTTGCATCTCTTGTCCCCTTCCTTGCATCTCTTATCTGCTTCCGTTGCATCTCTCTCATCCCCCTCTCATCCCCCTCTCATCCCCCTCTCATCCCCCATCCCATCCTATCTCTTCACTCACCCCTCCCATCCCTCCCATCCTATCTCTTCACTCACCCTCTCTACGGCCTTCTTAACGATGATACTTCCACATATAAGTGTTGCTAATCCCAAAATGACAATAGCAGATGATATTACTCTAATGGCTGTGCTAGTAAGCTGACCTTCAGTTGAGAAAAGATAGATAATCAATGAAATCTGAAATGCCCCCAATGTAAGCGGTATGACATAACGTCTAAATAATGCTTTTGATTGTGACTTGGCCAGGACATTAATTGACCGTATTCTCTGTGCGTAGCTTTCTGGAGATAACTTTTAAAATGAAGGGAAAGTTTAGTTACCGGAATAATTGAATGACTATTAGTTACCGGAAATAATTGAATGTCTATTACTTATGTATTGTCTTAGACCAACCTAAAGCTTACTTACATGTCCTTCAAGCTCGTTCAAATATTCATCACTATACTTGTCGTTTTTCAGTCGAAGATACAAGACTTTTGCAGCAGTATTTGATTCCATGATGTGTATAGTTTTGCGTTGATATGTGGTTAGTATGAAAATTTATTTGCCTGGTTTACTATAATTTTAAAAGAATAGTGGCTCTTTATTTTTTCATCGGGTATTTATTAACTTTTAAGTAAGAGCAAGAGTAAAGAGTATCATGATTTCCTTTGCTTACTCATCGAATGCTTATCTTTCAGTGTAAGGCAATACATTTATATATTAATGGGGATGTTACTGATTTTCCATATAAAGGTAGGTCTAGACTATTAGAGAAAAGGGGCAAGTACAAATTCAATTGCGTGATACATAACTAAACTAATTTTATGTGCCACGGTCGTGTTATGTCGTCGAAATATCAAAGTTAACCCGCTTCGATCTACTAGAATTATACGTTGGTGTAGGAGGTGAAGGGGGAACTATGGTAGAGTTGACAGCATTGCTGTTGACGTTGTCGGGGCCATTAAGATTATTATTACTCGTTATATTTACAACCGTCGATTCCGACATTTGGTTTGAATTGCCTAAAATTAATACGATTGTCTGTCGATCACATGACTGTCAATTAAAAAAGTTGGATAAAAGATGCCCCATTTCCTTTTTCCTTTATTCTCACCTTGTGATCTGCATCATAAGTCCATTGAATGTTCGTGGCGCTGTCTTGATCATTAAAGCTATTCAATATCCTCGAATAGTCAACTTCCGACTACAAAGAAACAGGATGGATATTGTCAACTTGCACGGACTGTGGTGTTTGTGTTAGTCTTGGACAAAACGTCTACTTACATTTCGTCTGCAGATCCAAACAATGACACCACAGATAATTATAACACCCCATACAATTAATACCGAGTAGAACGCTTGTGAACTCATTGACTCGTTCAATTTAGAACCGCCAACAATCCCAAACGCAACCAGGCCCATTCCAATCAGTAATATAATGAGCGGTGTTGAATATCTACGACCAAAAAATCGACGGTGTGAATTAAGCTCTTTATTGAGTTCTTCTATTCTGTTGTTGTAAGCCCCTTGAGGGAACTAGAAGTGGGGAGGAGGGGGAAAGAGATGGAAGAGTGTTATTACATGTCGATGCATGGCTAGATATCGAGCCTATTACTTACAATGTCCACGAGTTCTCCCGGGAATGTATATTCAAACCTATTGTGTCGCTTTGTCAGCGTTATTCTCGACATTTTTGTAGTTTATTGACAATGTTTTCGTTCTCACACAGACAGGATGGTGGTTATTTACAAAGGAAACAAAATTTTGCATCGTTTGGTTTCTTCCGGGTTTTCAATTTTATACAGTGGGTTTTCGGCATTAAATACTACCATTAATTACCCCATTCGGAATGGCTGTCGTCACTCTATGTGTACAAGTCTTTGTAATCACCACACTTATTAGTATAGTGGTGTCACATTCGGACAAATCTGAAGCGAAACAATGACGGTTTGGCAAACCAAAGTAAATGGATGAGGCCAAATTACGAATTTTTGCGTGCCACATTTGCCAAACAGCTTTCTCATTTTTTTCAAACAGGAAACGGGATCATTTGGGCACATTATTATCATTATTATTATACCGCCTTATCAATCAATATAAAAAAAAGGTCGACCATTTCGGGAAACCACTATGATGCAGTTACACAAAGGGTATTAACGCAGAATGGCAAAGGGCTTTTGTTTACCTGTCATAAGCATTTGTGTAAGGATAAGTTAGCATTTCTTGTCCAGGCAACGCTTTGAAGGGACAAAATATGTCAAATCATGTAAATTGTAATATTAATATAGCATTATTATTAAAACGCATTTGAACCGACGGCTTTACTTATTATCCCATACATTTCGCTTTTCCGTTTGTAAAGCGTTTATGCATGCTTTTAATTTGTACATACAAATGCAGCTACCGGCTGATCATCGTCCTACAACATGATTTGTGTCCAATTATATAACCCAGTTCGTTAACGATCTACTTTAAAAAAAAAACCAGATACGAAAGAACAATGACGTAGTCCACAAAATCAATGTCAAACCCAATAATGGTGGAGTGCGTCTGTTTGCCTTTTTATGGACGAAAACTCTGCGCCACTCGCCAATTACTGTCTATTGGCCGCAGTCTAAGTGTAAGTGTTAAGCGGGTGGGAAGAGAGGTCGAATGATATCCAGCCAGGTTGCGCATAAAAATAAATTTATTATACGGCAACTGAATACGACTCGACTGAATATATTGCGTGGGTTTAATATTAATGGCATCGATATGACCGAGTTAATGATTTAAGCGGTTCCGAAAATGCTTCTGACTTTACTTTTAAACGGCCAATAGATTAGACTCGTTCCAACTTTCAGCGTTTACAAATGAGCTGCCAATAGAAATTGCAAGCGTTTTAATTATCATTTTTATTCAACCATTTTGGGAAACTTATTAACTAACATAACTGCCATAAATCAGCTGATTGGTATTCATGTTCAATAATAAATAAGTAAATCTCTAACGTATACATGGTGGACGTTAACTATATCAATATTTAGAAAAGAGTTCTACATCTTCCTGTCTGAAAAATTCGAGTGGCACAGCTAATTTAACTTACTATTAGGAGAAGTACTGACTCTGATTTCGATAATGATTATCGAACGCGATGTTTCGTACGCTGATTTGCATCGAAATAATTGGTATGACTATTTGGCCTAACCGTACGATAATTTGATTGCATATGATATTTGTCTAACTATATACAATATTGCAATTTGACAAGTTAAACGAAGACTAAAAACTTATGGCATATTTGACCCCGTTTATTTTAGAATTCTCCACGAATGCTTCGATACTTGACCAGATATAATTCATATTTCGATGGTTGAAAGACATTTGTCTCACACCAATGATAAAGTTTATCCTATGAATTAGATTGTCATAATAAAAATGTAATAGTGTAAAGAACATCGAGACGAAATAATATGGTATAACCATATTCTTACACCTTATACTGCATAAGAGATACACAGGCTGTTTGATGACTTGTCATGCTAAACTCTGAAAAATCATGAGCCGTTTATGAAAACGCCAGCTTGTGTTTCAGTATTTTAATTGTAGAACTGCATGAGGTAAATCGCAATAGCACATAAAGAAACATGTACCTTATAATGTAATATTAATGGTCATTTGTCACAACATAACATCTATAAATCTAACAAACTTGTCATCGAAAAATTGATTCTCTGATGAGATCAGTCAGCAGTAAAAACAATAGCGAGCGAAAAGTTCGGATTGTAATAAGCTCACTTCCTTTTGCTGAGACAAATGATTCGCTTTTGATATGTGAGAATTATGGAATTGAGTATTATGATACATTATGGTTAACGTACGCATATAATATGCATTATCATTAATAAAATACGTTGCGTTCATGGATTATCCAATTCCATCTGACACACAACAGCAAATAACTCTCCAATGGTTTTCTATTAACTTACCATTCGGCAATATTGACGATTTACTGACTGACATTATTACGACCTGGACCTAACACTACGTATATTATTTGAATCGAAGCAAAATCGTAGCAATTACAATTTTATTTGATGTATGACAATACAGTATCTGCTTACTAGAAAGATATCTGGAATTGTTCTACGTGCAGAATATAGAGTGTACATTCAACCACAAAATAGCGTGCATTTAGAGATTAGGGAGTGTGTATTTAGGGGGAGAGTCGACTGTATTATCCTTTGCTTATGGCTGTTACTTATTTATGGTTTGTCCTCACAAGCGTAACAAGCAGAGCAATATCATCAGGTTTCCTATAAATAAAAAAAAACCATAAATCTATCAGATTTTCCCAAGACTGAAATCTTATTATAACTTACCCTCCCTGCCGAGGCACGTCCTTACGGGCTCTATACGCTTTCGCATATGGACTGTCTCCAGAAGAAGACTGAGAATATTTACTGGCAGTATAAGTAAGTCTTTTTGCTAATTTTCTTATGTCTTCTGTGAGCTCTTCAACATCCATAGCCCGACTGTCTCCGTCATTATTTGAAAGTTCTTCGTTCACAATAGAAACTATTTCATCGATGAATACATTATCATGCAATCCATCTGTTGCCAATAATATTACGTCTCCGTCTTGTAACTGGTGCGTTGACTGATCAGCATCACTAGGAGAATCCTTAGCACTCCTTCTGCGGTAACGTTTAGGCACTATTCCAAGCTGATAAGGAAAATTAAAGACGTGTTGTTGCGATGCAGACTGATAATGAACGCGACCATTGCGGATTAGTAGAAATGCTGAATCACCCAAAACTGCCGCATTGAGGATTCCCGAATCATTAGAAAGCGTGAGAATAGATGTCGTTGCACTGCCTGCATAGCATAAGTTAATAGCGTATTCGGGGATAGGCAAGAACAAAGGAAAGTCCTGTAACAAACCTGCTTCAACTTTCCCACCAGCTACCGTGTTTTCAAATGCTTTGCTTAGCACAACTCCAGCATCTACCATAGATTTATTAGGATTATTTTTCGCAGAACCAAGTTCTTTTGCAATGCTAGCTGCATTTTCCATCATGGCCCAAGCAAATGCTGAAGGATCTACGCCATCCTAGTAAAATAATAGATTAACAGTTAAGAACGACAAATTACTGAAATTAGTTTACTAATATACAAAGTCCCAATCGGTTACTTACTTCTCCCCAACTGCCTACTCCATCAGCTACCCCTTGAATAATGCCATAGTCTGTGGAGACGTGGAAAAAGGCGTCTTGTCCAGCATCGACCGTTTCTGATTCCAGTTGTTCTAGATTTTCATATTTATTATTTTGCACAACAACAAAACTTTTTTTTTTTGACCAAGCTACACCTGCTAAGTAAGTGAAGCTTTTTTTAGAAAGTGAGGCCATGAATTGTAGTAAAGAGATTTGTGAGCGAATATGTAGTTTGCTGGTGAGTAAAAAGTAAGGTTATTTAGACGAATTATGATGTACGTATTATGATGTATTATGATGTATTACAGTAACAATAGCACATATTGTTCGGAAACAGTTGATCACGTTGCTGAACTATTGTCCAATATGAAAAATTCTAGTCACTGGTTATATATTTTTATTCGTCGTTTACGAACACCTTTTCCCAAATCAATATTCCGCACCAACCTTCTATTGCCTTTTCTGGTAAGATTTCTGGAGATTTTATGCGACCAATTATATATATACTGTTATGCATTGCATAAAAATCAACATCTTTAGTATAATAAAATTCTTCTATTTTGGGGGGTAGGCTAAAGCGGAGTAGTTTTTTACAATTTCATTGGTTGATATACAAATTTGACCAATGTAATTGCAAGAATCAGGTCACGTTCTACTCCGCTTTAGCCATCCTCTATTTGGGACTAGACTGCGGTAGCACAGCAGTCATTAATATACATGTGAATCCCAAAATTAATTGACAATGAAGTAAATTTACTTCAAAATACTGATCCGACACTAGCATTGCAGTTCTGCGAAAAACAATCCTAATAAATCTATGGTAGATGGTGGAGCTGTGTTAAGCAGAGCATTTGAAATACGCTAGCTGGCGGAAAAGTTCAAGCAGGTTTAGTTGTTCTTGAATAACGCCGCACTGCCTATCCCAGAATAAGCTATTACCGTATGCGTATTAATCTGTTATGCAGGCAGTGCAACGACATCTATTCCCACGCTTTCTATTTCTCCTATTCGTAACGGTCGTCTTCTTTATCAATCTGCATCACAGCACCATTCCTTCAACTGTTCTTATCAGCTTAGAATAATACCTGAACGATTCTCCTATCAGTCAATGCACCAATTACAAGATGGAGACATAATAATATTGGCAACAGATGGGATTGTATTTATTGATGAAATAGCTTCTATTGTGAACGAAGAACTTTCAAGTAACAACAGAGACACTCGAACTGTGGATGTTGAAGAGCTTGCCTACTTGTACAATACAAGAAAAACATTATTGAGTTACAATTACAATACTCTATATGTTATAAACCATAATTTTAATATTTATGTAATATTGCAGGTATGTAGTAACTTCTAAACTCACTATGCAACGTTGCAGACGATTCTGCCGACTCCGGAAAGACTTCTCATAGTCAGCTTTTTGGATGGTAGGTTTTCATGAATTGGACAATGTACTTTGTTTATATACTTACAACAGCTTCTTTACATGCCAACAGAGCACACTTTTTATGTGTACAGCCCTGTCAATGCCATTTGCCAGCATATATTTTTCAAACTTGAAGCAACTTTCAGTTATCCAACAATAGCATTCGTTTTTCTGAAAGCTATGCCAAAATTTGTATACTTATGGAACATGCAGGTGTCGTGCCGACTACTGCGGGAGAGCAGAAAGTAATCGACACTTGGGATTTAACTAGTCTCGACGGAGCGTGGC